ATCAGCATCATATCAGCAACCTGAAAAAAAAAAATCAAATCTTGGGCCTCTCTTCAGACCTACAGAGTCAGTATCTGAATTTGTGTAAGATCCTTTGTTGTTGTGGGCACAGTTAAAGTAAATCACTGTCATAAGTACCTCAATCTCCCTGCACATTTACCTTCCATGACAGCTGACTTGAATTCACACCTGAAAAAAAAATGAGCTATTTCTACATTTCAGGCAAGTTCAACATCACGCACCACACACCAAGCCACAAATCTTATACCCTATGAATCCCAAAGGTTGCAGGTAATGGGCTATATACTTAAAATATGCCTTCGTCGCCAATAACTATTCAAAGTTGTCCAAGTATCCTATAAACCACGTGGGACTGCTTGATAAATGGGGTCATTCTTAGATTCAAAGATTTAAAAATTCACTATTCCGGGAATAACTCATCTACCAACACCTAGAAGCATATGAAGGAGGAGAAGCTATTAGCTCATAAATGCATGATGTGTCAGTGGCTAATATTCTCTTTGAAAAAAAAACAACAACAAACAAACAAAAAATAAAAATATGTTTTCTAAATGAAGCAGGTCATGACTTGTCATGGTTGGTTACTGATCTACCATGTCCACAGGGGCTTAGGCTGTGCACATGATGATTTGACTTCCAGGAGGCATTGTTCATACTATGTAATTTGAGTGAGTTAATGAAACATATATTGAGTTCACTAAATAATTCACAAACTTTTGAGACACAATTATCATTAACAATTCTCTAATTCTCATATAATAATTGAACATAAAGTTTCATTACCATTTTACTAAAGCAGAAACTGTATTACTTCAATATTGTCCACTCAGAAAAAGTGTGGGTTCCAAAAAGTATTTTAAACCATTGCACTTTATCTTCCATTCTGAAAATTTCATTCTTTTTCAAAGGAATGTTTACATGGGGTCCCAATGGGTGTTGAAAGCTGGTGAAGTACACAGAAGCAGTGAAATGGAGGAGAGAAGCAACTATTCAGATAAGATGGGATAATTTGCTTCCACTTGAATTGTAATTGATACAATATGGGGAAAGATGGTTTCATGAGGACATAGATTTTGTCTGTGTTATCTACAATTATGTTCTCAGTTTCCTGAAAGCAAATATTTTATTTTTTTCCTGCTATTCTTCAAACTCCCAAAAGCAAGCACATGGTAGATGCTCAAAAATATTATCTGAAAAAATGAATCCCAAAATTTCTAAAATCCCTAATTTTTATGGAAAAACCTAATATCTGAAGACATATTATAGTGCCCCACAAGATTGTCATAAGCCAAAAATCCGGACAAGTAATTGATTTTTTGATGTGTTCACCATTGTAAACTTTTTATTTCATGGATTTCCTGATTATTAGACTAAATCAATTCCAACTGTCATGAGTTTATTATCATGGGAAACAGCATGAAATAATTTAAAGAATGGAGTTTGAAGTTAGTGGGACCTTGATAAGAGTGCTAACTCTGACATTAACTACAAAACCTTGGGCAAGTTATTTACCCTCTAACTTTCTAATCTTTAAAAAAATGATAATAGTGTCTTCTTTATGAGAATATAGAACTTAAATGGGATACCAAAACTGAAAGCACTTAGCCTGGTTCTCAAATATACCCATTACTGTTTTCCCTAATGTTAACACTATTTGTTTTAACCAGAATAAATTTTTCTGTAGGTCAATGAACATATGACCATAGTATTAAAATATAGTACAAATTAAAAAGGGTTTGCAGTGGAGAAAAGACAGTGAGAATTACCAAGGAGAAAGGATCTTACTGAAAGCAGTAAAATTTACCCTTCCATTTAAGCATCAATTCATCCAACTTTACCAAAAACTGAAAAGATCATTGGATCTTAAAAATCCTCATCATCCTGAGAGACATTGCTTTGGTACCTTCTCTGAGCCCACCTTGAATCATTTCTGCTTCCTTTTCTGCTGAACTTTGCAGCATTTTGACACAGATGTATATTTGGGGAACAAATCAATCTCAGGAGAAGATTTTTATGATACTAAACTTTTCTACAAAATCAGTGCTTATTTGCAGTTGAAATAGAGATCATAGTTACAATTGCGGCTTAACCTTTCTGGTGCACTCAATAATATCATAATCTGGGTACAACTGAAGACTTATAACAATCAGACTGTTAGCAAAATGTGAGCTCATTCACTCATTGATTCCTTTATTCATTCATCCAGCAAACATTTATTAAACATTTACTATGTTCTTATCTCTTGCTGAATGTCAGGCTGAAGGGATTATTAAGACTTCCTTCTCTCTTCTAAAAGCTGGCTAGACAACTAACACATTATAATGCACAGTTACATTTCTTTTAATACTAAGGTGAGCACAGGTGTCTTTGAAAACACAAAGGGAAGTCCCCTAAACAGAATGAATCAAATGGGAATATTGGTTTGGAGTAGGCCATTCCTAATTTACATTTAAGGAGAACAATCTTAACAACTCAAATCAGCAATGAGGAAGAATGACTTGAGGAGGCTTGTTAGAGAACATCACAATGCTGGACAGTGACTTGGGAAGGTAACCAAAGGGCAAGAAGAAGGGGGCTCCACCAGTGAAGGTCAATAGGCCAGAGTCCGTTATCTTCTATTTCCATCTCTTGTCACCAAGCTTTTATGGATCCCTTACGGAAGGAAATTTAAAGTATTTAACCACTAATCCCACTTAATTTATAGCTGGATAAACTAAGTGACTGGTTAAGGCCACATGGTCATCCTATAGCATCAAAAAAAGGTTAGAAGTCCTGAAGGTCCCTGAGATTTTTGCTAAGTATCTTACTCCTGGGCATATGGAATCCATGGCCCCACCATTCTGGCTCACAATGAATGCTTTGAAGAGAAGGGTGACTTCTCATCACTCTAGGATTCACAATAAATATGACCTTCCTCCCATTGCCCCACATTCCCTGCATCACCAATCTGAATAGATGAGTAATTCCCACATTTTGTTCACATCCTGTAATTATTCCAAGACCAGGGAATTATAGTGGACTTGATTATATCGCCCACCACCACTTTGAGAGGAGTACACATTTCCTCTTAATTTGAATGTGTACATCTACATGTGGTTCTTGCTTCCCTGGCTCTCTGAATTCAGCTCTGGATATATAGAATACTTAAAAATTCTAGAATAATCCCTTCTCCCAAATTTTACACAATTTGGTTTGAACTCCCTCTACTCATGAATCCCATAAAAATCCCTATGACTTCTGATCTAGTTTACAACATCAACTGAGAAAAAGAGAACTTGACCAAGCAGAAAAGAAGTCTAAAAAGAACAAGCAATTCATGAGGGAGCATTAAACTTCATCTTTAAGAGAGCATCGCTTTGTGCAAGGAAGCACTATAAAAAAGAGTGAACCTTATCGTCGCTTTCACTGGAGTTGAGTCTTGGAGTAAAAAACAGATTGAGAAACCTTCTGGGGTGAGATAAGAGGATGACTAATGAACTAGAAGCTGTCTGGGGTGTGTGATCCTTAATTGTACATTTCATTGCTTTTATTATTTGCTGTTACGACTTTATAGCTGGCTAACCGTATTTTCCAAGAGCCAATACTTGGCAGTGAAAATTAGTTTAAGAAAATAAAAAGAACCTCTCTACTTCTTTAGAAACTTTTTTCCCCTTTAATAGATTCTCTCCTCTCTCCCCCGAAGTGGCAATTCTTTTGAAAACAAGCACACTAAATTTATTTCAGAAATGAATAGGGAACTTTTTAATAGCTCACACTGATTTTCCCTTCACCTTCTTATGATTTTTCTTCCTTATATTTCAATATCATGAGTCTTAAGATTAATACCTAATTGTTACGAGTGAAATAATTGCAAGTAATGGAAATTTCTTTCACTTTCCTAGTGTTGAGGACATTCAAGTGTTCCCTATGTTATGAAGGGCTGTTGGCTTTCAACAGTGCAGAATATGGAGATTCTTCATTCTGCTCAGGAAGGGCTCAGGTAGAGGAGGCCTATTTGAAGCACAAAAGCTCATGAGACCAAATAGACTTATACAGACTTAAGTACTAAAGAAATCAAAAAGGAAGGACACAAACATTTATTTAGTACACAAAGATATGCACAAGATATTTTTGTAAATCTATCTCAGATTTATGCCAATTTATCTTCATGGAAATACCTTTGTTTACAAAAGAGGGACTAGAACTAGAGAGTCTAGGTTACTTCCTTAAAGCCACACAGACAATGAGTAACAGAACCACGATAAAATTTCAGGTCTGGTGATTGCAGAAAATTAGAGTGAAATTGTGACTGGCAGAGGCTGGGGTTAGAGATTATGGGAAGGTATTAATTGAAGGGTACAAAGTTTCCATTGTGCAAATAAGTCCTCGAGATCTACTCTATGGCCTATAATACAGCAGTTAACAATACTGTATTATATGCTGTATTGTATTACAAAAAATAGAAATCTTACATTGTGTTCTTATCCCAAAATATTAGTAACAATAATAAATAAGAGGGTGAAATAAACATTTGTAGGTAATAAACAGATCTATGACCTAGATCATGATGATGATTTTATGATTATATAGTTATCTCCAAACTCAAGGTATATACATTACATATGTACACTTTTTTGTACATTAATCATGCCTCAACAAAGCATTTTTTTAAAAATATAAAACAATGCTGCTCTCTTACTAAATATTTTTTGTTTGTTTTAGGAAAGCACTTTTTATTTGAAAAGGTTGTTTACATGAATCTTAAAAACCCTTAATGTTTAAGTTGATTAACACTGGATAATAAGCAAGACTTATCAAATAAATTTGCTATCAATGACCTCCCATAAATCTTAAAATAGTACTAATGAGTCAGTAGAAGTAATTCCTACTCACCCTTCCTTGCTTGATGGAAAATTCTATGGAGTGTGAGGAGGCGAGAACAACCCCCAGACTGAGGACCAAGCAAAGCCCGTGCTGCTGCATCCCCGCATCCTACCCAGAAGCCCCGCCACCATCGATATCAGGCCTAAGAGAAAGGCTAAAGGGGATGCTAAAGGAGATAAGGCCAAGGTAAAGGACGAACCACAGAGAAGATCCACCAGGTTATCAGCTAAACCTGCTCCTCCAAAGCCAGAGCCCAAGACTAAAAAGGATTCTGGGAAGAAGGGAGAGAAAGTACCGAAAGGGAAAAAGGGGAAAGTTGATGCTGGCAAGGATGAGAATAACCCTGCAGAAGATGGAGATGCCAAAACAGACCAGGCACAGAAAGCTGAATGTGCTGGAGATGCCAAGTGAAGTGTGTGCATTTTTTATAGCTGTGTATATCTGGTGACTATACAGTTTGAAATACTATTTTTATCAAGTTTTATAAGAATGCAGAATTTTGTTTCACTTTTTTTTAAGCTATGTTTTTAGCACACAGAACACATCATTGTTATTTTTGGGGGAACAGACATATAGTACTAATAGAATGTCTCCAAAGCTGGACTGACATTGGGGGAAAAACACCTTTCCTTTCTAGTTTTGAGAAACTTCCTCTTGGATTCTGGAAGGAAGGATCTCTTGACGTTGACACACATTAGCCATCTTGGCACAAATACCTTGTAGTGTGGGAGAACTAAAATTTATTTTTATGTCCTTTTCTCCCTCTCCACTTTAAGCATAGACTTTGACTCTCTTAAGCCCAGAGACGTATGGGGACCTGACCCCCCCAAAAAAAAAAAATTGATTTACAGTGTGTTGGACAATCTGGACTTACCAGTGTCACCATTGAGATGGCATCCCTCAAAAGAGCTGCAGTTCCTTAATAGATTGTGGATCTACAGATTGATATTCTCTGCCATTTTCATTTCATTTCTTGAAAGTCAGGCTCCATTTGTGAAAAGTTGTTAAACAACATGCTTAATGTGAAATATCAACCCTCACTCTGAACTTTCCCTGTTCAGAGCATCAGCTGAAGACTTCACTGTGTTTTATAGTATTTTATAGTGGCTTTCTGATTTTGGGGGGGAAAAAAGGAGACATATGTACTACTCTTTGTAATATTTTAAGCAATAAAACAAAATTTAAAAAAATAAAAAAGAATCCAGGTTTGTTGGATTCTAATGCTTCTTGATGGTGATTATAGGTATTTTGCATGGAGTATTAAAGCTAGAATGAATTTTATTTTTTTATGTTTTTATTGATTTTTAGAAAGAAGGATAGAGAGATAAAAACATCCATGAGAGGAACATCATAGATCAGCATGCACCCCTATTGTGTATGGGTCACACAACCCGGGTATGTGCCCTGACCTGAAATTGAACTGGTCAAATCTTGGTTCCTGGGCTGATGCTCTACCACTGAGCTACACTGGATGGGCTACAATGAATTTTATACATTCCTTTTTTTTTTATCCCCTCAGTAATAGAAACAGTGAGGCCCAGAAGGCCTTCAAACATGTTAGTTTGTGTCAGATGCAGAGGAGACACATTCTGATAAAGTCTGTTTTAAAGCATAGTTGACCCTTTGCTTCACTTATCTGGTATTTCAATTGAAGTTCTTTGAAGATCTGAGTCATCTCAGAAAGTGATCCAATGCTGTGTTGGCAAACACCGGCTGTGTCCACATGTGGAGAGTGAGTTGAAGTAAGACTTGAAATAGAACCAAGCAGAACTGCTCAGGCGATCCTTTTCACTAGGAAACAGCAGTGTGATGCACCCCAGCCAACCCTAGTACTACTGTCCTTTTGAGGAGACAGTATATCATTATACTATTTTTAAAAATACTTTGAAAATATGATTAAAATAGCCTTTCTGAGATTCTATTTGAAGAGTGTGCTAAACTTGCTGAGAACTTCTGAATGAGTAATAACAATAAAATGGTTCCTTACATATTTAAATAATGTACTATGTTCTCTGGCACTGCTGTTTCATTTAATCCTCATAACTACCCAGTAGATGAGGAAAACTGGGACCCCGAGAAGTTACATGACTCTCCCTGCAAAGCCCAATATTTTGAGTCTAATCCTAGGACTCTGCCCACTCATCTTCCTATCAACCAGAAAAATTACAAATGGACACCTAGACCCCTCACACACCTTCTGATGGGTCAGTTCCAGGTAGGACCATGTTATCATGCCACTCCTTCATAAATGCTGACAAGGAGAACAAGAGGGTTGGCAGCAGGAAAATCCTGCTCTTCTCCTTTGAGGATCAGGCACTCAGGGAGAGAAATTTCACCTTCAGGAATCAGAACTATAAATGGCATCATCACCCACAAAGGAAAGGAGAAATAGTCAAAGACTCCCAGACTCTTGTCTGAAAGAGTGAGGCTGAGAGATGTTATCTCACTATTTCCCCTCTCACCTGAGTCAATGCTCATATAGCATCTTCCATTTGGAAAACACTCACCTTCAACATCTTCTCTTGGCCCAAAAATAACTATTGTTTCTTCATATTGCAGCTCCATAACAGCTTCTACAAAAAAGCTTTACCTGGTCCTTCAGGTTAAATCAAACCTCATTTCTATAGGCTCTCCTGGAACCATTCACCTGCCCCTCTTAATGTTTGCCATGATTTTAATTTTATATTTCTATTGGTATGGTGTATTGGTTAATGTCAGCCTCCTCTACTGGGTTGTAGTACCTGTATGAATAGACACTAGGTTTGGTCAATCATTGTTTTCCCAGTGCCACCATAATATCTGGTTTCTGGGAGGTATCTAAAAATATTTGTTAAGTGAATGGATGAATTAAATGAATAAACAAGCCAAGAAAGTATAGAAGAAGAAAAGGATATGTATCCTAAGATCAGATGCAGAGATAATTGGAGAATTTTCAATTCTCTAATATGCTGAAACTTACTTGAATGGATGCAATGAGCTATTTTATTTTAGTTGTTATTATTATTATTTTGATATTATATTTGGTGTTTTTTGAGGGGGAGAGAAGAGATTTAAGGAAGAGTTTGAGACAAGTAGAAAAATAAATAGAGAAATTATTTGATGTAATACTTCTTGTTTTCTGCCATAATAAATCAATACTTGGGTTATCAATACAATGAAGCATTCTTCAAGACTAATTTTTACCATTTCTCAAGAACAAAAAATCCAAACAGAGTATGTTTCCAATTTTTTCTTTAATTCTTAAAACAATGTCAGAATTTTCAAAATTTAGTTCACTTTCATTAGCATGCCATATACTCATTTTTTAAACATATTTCATCCTCGATGCTATTGTATTATAGTTCACAACAGAAATGCTTAATCCCCACACTCACTTTTTAAAACTTCTGTTTTTGCTCAAACAAAACAGAAACCATTAATAATATAGTTCAAGTTTGGTACATTCTATCTACAATCCCCATTGTTTTCATTGAGAAATAATAACAATTCCTGAACCTGAGAATTGAATACTCCATTCCACTTCTGTAAAGATTTTAATCAGCAAAACCCAGTGCATTCAAGTATACGATGATGTGATTAGAGTCTGCAAAACTATTGTATTGTTTGAGTAACCAAATAGCACTCATTTGACAATCTCTGTGTTTTAAGACCTAATGAAGTTATGACCAGGATATATGCAAATGAAGATGTGTCATAGGAAAAAAAAAAACTGCATTGTTTATATAATCAGAAACCCTAATTTTTGCCCAGCCAGCATGGCTCAGTGGTAGAGCATCGACCTGTAAACCAAAAAGTCATGGTTCAGTTCCCGGGCAGGGCACATGCCAGGGTTGCTGCTAGATCCCCAGTAGGTAATGTGCAGGAGGCAGCTGATCAATGATTCTCTCTCATCATTAATGTTTCTATCTCTTGCTCCTTGTCCCTTCCTCTCTAAAATCATTAATAATATATTTTTTAAAAGAAATGAAGTATTTCTGTGGCTTGAAGTAGCTGATAAATACTGAAAAGGGGTGGGGGTGGTAGTCAGAGAAGGAAGTGCAGGTGGAGAAAATGGGCACCTGCAAAAAGCAGAGTCAACAGAGATACAGGGGGCACTTGCTGCTGAGATGGAGAGACAAAACAGCCAAAGTCACCCCAGCTTATCTGCCAGCTGTGAAATCAGTCCAGGATTAGATGAAAAACATCATTAATTTGAATGTAATTAAATATCATTAATAAGATGCTCTGGAGTGTGTGCTGCTTAGAGATAATGGCAGCCCCTAGGCATGACCTATGGGGAGATTGTATCTCAGGATCTCACCAGCTCTGGGCTCCCATGGGCACTAGGAAAGTAAAAGTCGTGCACTTAGTTAACTTTGTTTATTGACTTCACAGCTCTTTCAACAACACTACCAATAAAAGAGATCAGAGAAGATGGTGCATGGGAGCCATAAAATTTATCTTCTTTGAATCAACAGAAAAGATTGCATTTCTTAAAACCAATCCAGGCAACCAGTGCTCCTTAACAAAAAACACTTATGGATAAGTACAAGGAAAGAATGCCTTTATACATGGAAGAGCATCTTATAGGAGTTTCAGTTCTACACTAAGTATATAAAATCACCTATAATCAAACCAGTTCTGGATTTGTAAAATGCAAACACAGGCCTGTGAGAGGTGTTCATGGCTGTGAGGTTGTCCCTCTTTCTTCAAGAGTGTAAGACTCACTAATAACTCCCTTGGGCTGGGAGAGAAGCACAGCACAGAAGCATGGACTGGGATAGTAAGAGAAGTCACCCTTCATGTTAAATTTTATTTTATTTTCCCCTAATTCTCTCTTTCCCTCCCTTCTTCCCTTCCTTCCTCTTTATCTCTCTCCATAAATGAATTCGGGAAAATGAAGTGTACATCTGATGCTATTACACTGTACTCTTCCTTCTGTCTGGAAGATCATTTCCCTCATCTCTGATCTCACACTTCACTCCCTTCACAGCCTACTCATATCCAACACATCTTTTGAGACTCCACTCAAGTCAATTTCTCTGACTCTCCGAGTCTAATTTAGTTGGCTTGTTCTGGGTTCTCTTAGAATACTGTGTGCCCCTCAACCCAATTACTTATCATGCCTAGAGTAATAATCATCTTACATCACTGCTGCTGCACTAGACTAAGAGTTCAGCAGGCTGTGTCATGTGCCGTCTCTTTGTATCGCTAACACTGAAAAAAAGTGCATGGCATCTGGGAGTTATTCAGTAAATAAGGAAGGAAGAAAAGGGATGAGAGAGGGAAGAAGAAGGGAAGGAAGAAAGTATGAGATATCTGTATGAATTGAGCAATTCTTTATCCAAAGGGACATCAGTTTCCACATCTGGAAAGTGATAAGGTGGCTATTCCCAATTTCTGAGAGTATTATTCTGTGATTTGTAGACTTT